ATTCAGTCTTTAAGTGTTTGTTAAAATTCTCCAATGAAACCTAGATGGAGTTTTTTTAAATTATGGATTTAATTTCTGTCATAGTTCTAGAACAATTATCTATTTCTTATTGACTAAATTATGGTAGTTTGGTTCATTTAATTTAAGTTGACAAATCTATGTGAGTAAAGCTATTCATGGTATCCCCTTGGTTATCTTTTTAGTAGAGATAATAACTATTTCATTCCCAATATTGGTGATGTGAGTCTTATTTTTATTTTGTCACTCCTGTTAGAGGTTTGTTGATCTTTTCCTAGACCTTGTTCTTTGTTTCATTGATTCTGTTGTTCTATTTTATAGATTTCTGCTCTTATTTCTATCAATTCTTTCCTTCTGTTCATTTTGGGTTGATTTTGTTCTTCTTCTAGCCTCTTGATTTGGGAGCTTAGATTATTGGTTTAAGGCTACGATACAAATTTCCCTCTCAACACTGCTTCAGCAGCCTCCCACAGTGTTGATTTGTTGTAACTCATCATCAGTCCCTTCATTGTATTTCTAAAAGTTGTTCCTGACACTCCTCTTTGATACAAGGACCACTTAGAAGCATGCTATGTCGTTCTGTGCTTGGCAGGAAGTGCGTGGAAGTGACACTGTGTTCTCGTAGCTCCCTTCAGCCGTGTGCGATTTTAATTTGTGCCTTAGCCGTGTGGTTTAATATCTTGATCAGCTGATTAAATTGGTATCTCCCAGACATCTCCATTCTACATTTATTCTCCTTCGCTTGGTAAGTAAGAATCGTCCACAGGTATACTTCAAAGTGATTAAGTATGGACCATCTGTTTCCTACGTTAGACCTCTGGTGATGAAACATTAATATCTTTATATTTGTTACTCAAAATATCCTACATTTGTCCAGCAAGAGCCTCTTCAACCTGGCTTCTGAGTTCTTTTGTCATATTGTCCTCATTCTTTGAGCACTTATTTTCTGACCCCAAAATGTGATCCAGGTTCATCTTGTACTTTCCTGCAACAGACAAGGACTTAGTCAATTCTCCATGTTTCTTTTCATTTAATCATGTCCCATAAGACTTAGAGGCTTTAGGGATGTGTTGAAGTCTCTAACTCATATTATACTAGCCCCTATCTCTTTTTAGGTCTATGAGTGTTTGCTCTATGTAACTGGCGCTTCAGCACTGGGTACCTATGTTTATCATTTTTCATTTCTCTTGTTTAATTCATCCCTTATCATTATATGGCATCCTTGTCTCTTTTTACAGTTTTTGCTTTGAAGTCTATTTTATTTGATATAACTATAGCTACTCCTGTTCACATTTGATTTCCACTTGTATAGAATATCTTTTTCACTTTTAATCTATGTGTCTTTACTGGTGAAGTGAGTTTCTTATGAACAGCATATAATTGGGCCTTTTTTTTAAAAATCCATTTAGCCATTCTTTATCTCTTGATTCAGAAATTTAATCTGTTTTCATTCAAAGTTATTATTGATAAGTAAAAACTTACTCATGACATTTTGTTGCTTTCTGATCTTTTTGTATAGCTTATTTCTCATTATTTTTGTTGTTTGGTGTATTTCTTTAGTTATAAGGTTTAATCCTTATAACTTATATCTTATATAATCATATATCTGCCTTACCAGTGAATTTTATTATTTGCATCTTTTCATGGTGGTATTTTTGCTTTTCATGGTGGTATTTTTGCTTCCAGATGTAGGACTCCTTTACACATTTCTCACAGGGCTTCTCTGGTGATGCTGAATTACTTCAGCTTTTGCTTCCTTTCTCATGATTTTTTTTTTGGAAGTACTGAGATTCAGATGTAAGGACTCCTTTACACATTTCTGCAACAGGGCTTCTCTGGTGATTGCTGATATTACGTTCAGCTTGCCTTCCTTTCTTCATTGATTTTTTTTTGGAAGTACTGAGATTGGAACTCATGGCCTTGAGCTTGCTAGGCAAGCACTGTACTACTTGATCCATGCCTCCAGCTCTTCTTGGTCTCATGCTTTTTGCCTGGGGCTGGTCTCAGACTGAGATCCTTCTACTTCCACCTCCTGCATAGCTGGAGTTACAGGTGTGTACCACCATGCCTGGATTGGTCTTTGAGACAGGGTTTGCTAACTTTTTTTTTTTTTTTACCAAGGCTGGCTTCAAACCATGATTCTCCCATCTCTGTCTTCCAAGTAGGTGGGATTACAGATGTGAGCCAGCTTACCCACTCTGAAACATAGCTTTTGTGAGTATAATATTCTTGGGTTGGCAGGTTTTTTTTTTAATTTCAGAACTATAAATTCTGTCCTGGCCTGTAAGATTTCTGATGAGAAATATGCTGTTAGTCTAATGGGATTTCCATTAAATGAATTTTTCCTACAGTTTTAGAATTCTTTGGGATTTTAAGTTTGACTATAATATTCTCTGGTGAGGACCTTTTTTGGTCAAATCTATTTTAGCTCCTTTGGGCCTCCTGAACCTTGATGTCCATATCTTTCCCAAGATTGAGGAAATTTTTAGCAGTATTTCATTGAACAGTTTTTGTATGAATTTTCCCTGCTCCTCACCTTTTGGAAACCCTGTAATTCAATTTTTTAAAATTTAATGGTGCCCCACAAGTCTTGGAGACTTTCCTTGCTCTTTTTTGTATTTCTGTCTGATTGGGACATTTTAAAAGACCTGTCTTCAAGTTCAGAAATTCTTCAGCTTGATTTAGACTGTTGGTGAGATTCTCAAGAACAGTTTTGTTTTTGAGACAGGATCTCACTATGTAGCCCAGCTGGCCTTGAATTCATGATCCTTCTGCCTCAGCCTTCCAAGTTCTGGATTACAGGGATGTACCACAATTCCAGACTTCAATTGTATTCTGTTGGCGATATGGGGGGTTGAAACTCAGGGTATCATACTTACCACACTCCTAGACCTTTTTGCTTCAGTTATTTTTCAAACAGGGTCTCACTTGTTTGAAATCATCACCAAAGATCCTGGACCAGGCCTAGGATCCTCCCATATGCACTTCCCTTCTCACTGGGATAGCAGACATGTGCCACCACGCCAGCTTTATTGGTTGAGATGGGGGGTGGATCTTCTGAGTTTTTTTTCTGGTGGTACAGGGGATTGAACCAGGGGCTCATGCATTCTAGACAAGTGCTCCACCACTGAGCTATACCTCCAGTCCCTTTTTCTGAACTTTTTGCCCAGGCTGGCTTCAAACCATAATCCTCCTGATCTCTGCCTCCAGAGTAGCTAGGACTATAGGTGTGAATCACTGTTCCTAGCTGTTTGGTTCTTTTTTATAATCACTATCTCTTTGCTGAGTTTTTTATTCATATAATGAATTGCTTTCCTAAATTCATTGAACTGTCTGTCTGTATTCCCTTATATCTTACTAAGTTTCCTTAGAATAATTCTTTTGAGTTTTTTTGTTGAACATTTTGCCAATATCCTTTTCTTCAGGATCTGTTGCTAAAGGTTTATGGTGTTCCTTTGTAGCATCATATTACTTTTTTTGTTCTTACTTCCTGTGTCCCTAAATTGATATTTGTTCATGGGTACAGCAGTAGCGTTTGTAATAAAAGGTTTTCTCCTAAAGATCTAGGTGTATCAATCAATGTCTTTGATTCCATTTGGGTGCCATAGTGTAGACTCCCTGTAGCTTCTTTGTTTAAATTCTGTAGTTCAGGCAATCTTCCTGCCTCAGCCTCCAAATGCTTGGATCACAGGTGTGTGCCACCTGTGTGTCTGGCATCCCTATGACTTCTTCAGCTGTAATCGGTGGCTTTGGGCACTGACAGCAGCAGTGGAGCATGCAGTGCACACCTTCAGGCCCAGAAGTGATGCATGAGCTGAAAGCAGCAGCAGACAATTGGTGGTGGGGACAAGCTCCAGGTCCCAAGGAGCAAGTACCTTGGTTCCTCAGGTCTTGCAGATGGCACACCCCTGCTAACCATTTGTCCTGTGAAGTGCAAGCACCATGTGGGGTAGAATGTTGTGATCACAATTGCACTGCTGGCCCTGGTTGAGTTCATAAAGCTGTAGCTCTTCGTTCTAGTGTGATGGAATATCTGTGGGGCCTACAGATAGGGATATACAGAGGCTTATGTTCCACTTACCTTAAGGCAGTATGACGGTGCCATGCTGTAACAGCCTAGGCTCTGGGAGTTAGTGGAAAGATGGTGTGGGTTCTTTCACTGAAGCAAAGCTATCCTGCATCCTAAGGTAGCTCCCCTAGTTGGGGTCCAAGCCACTGATGACTCTCTCCTATAGCTGGGTTAGCCAGCAACCATGGTGATGGGGCCTGCTAGGAGTCTCCTGTCTACATTTTCCTGGAAATCAGGAGTCTCCCAGCCAAGGAGCTAGGGTTGTGATTGCCAATGTGTCTTGTTCCTCTCTATGCTGCCATCCCAGGTCTCTGGGTCTCACAGGGTTCCCATGTCTCGCTTGCTGAGTTCCTGTGCCTGTCCATTGTCACCCACCTTGACATGCAGCTTCTCACTTGTTCTTTTGATTCTTCTTTGTGGGAGCCATTATGGAATCTCCCTATATTTCTAATTCTTATTTCTTAGAATGAGACACCTAGGCTCCCATTGTTCAAAATTACTTTATTTGATTGATCTTCCCTTTTGTGAACAATCTTCCATTGCCACTGCTGCCCTACTCCCATGCACATACCTCCTCATTCTGTCTAAGCTCTGACATCCATGTCACATGTTGTTCTATTGTGGATGCCCCACCATAACCTATTCAGGGTCTATCATCACCATGCTAGGCTATCATCCAACATGGATACCTTTCTTTCTTTTTTTAAATTGTTGTACTGTGAGTACATTGTGACATTTACAAAAGTGCTTACAATATGTCATAGTTGAATTCACCCCCTCTACCATTCTCCTTTATTCCCCCTCCCTCATTCCTGGAATAGTTTCCACAGGTCTCATTTGTCCATTTTCATACACAAGTACATAATATCTCCACCATATTCACCCTCCCACACACTTTCCCTACCCCTCTCAGGTTCCAGCACTGTCAAGAAGAACCTTACATACGAATACGCTCCTAACAGCTTATTGGGCTCCTGCCCCCTCATTGGTCTGCTGGTCCATGTAAATGTCCTCTTCGCCCAACCCGAGCTGATAGAAAATGTCAGGACCTTCTATGCGTTCCTCCTTATGGTGCTCAATTTCCAACTTCCTATGGACCAAGGATGCCCTCCTTATGCCATTGGATGTGATATGCAGTAGTGATACATCACTGAACACCTGTGTGGACTCCTCCTGCCTCAGCCTGTGTTCTCTGCCGAGCACCCCTCTACTTCAAAGCCTTCCTTGCCCAGCTTGGCATCCTCATTGGTTCTGTGCTGTGATGGAGCTCTTCCCAGACACACTCATGTCACACTGCCCAACCCAATAACTTTCAGACTGAGTTGTTCAGGAAGAAAAGTGAAAAAAAAAATCATGAGAACCATAGAAGAAGTACTTTATTTTTTTAAAAGAGACATTTTCCATTTGCAGAGGAAAATTCTAAGTACTAAGGAAAATCTGCTACAATATTTTCATCCAAACTTCAAAAACTTATATAATCATGCAGTTGGCAAGAGAAGACCTGTGTCCAGGGGGATCTGTGGCAAGGCTGGAGAGGCGTAGCAGGGCTGGTGCCACGTGACAGCCTTGCTCAGGAAGGCCCTGCCCAGGAGACCACCCACTGATGTCACATCCACAATAGACCACCCCACCAAAAAGGAAGATCAAGAGATTCCAGCTTTAGTCAAATGCTCCTAAGAAAGGAATTGCAGAGTAGAGGGAGGAATCACTCCAAGGGTTGATGACAGATTCCTGCCATTGATGAGAGGGTTTTTAAGAGATTCTTTAGAAGGAATCCCAGTTGAAGACAACCAGCCAACTGCACCAAGATGACTGAAAACAGATGGAACCAAAACATGTTGTAGCACCATCTCAACTGCTGAAGATGAGATACTGAAATATCTAAAGAGGAAATAAAGCCAACTCTCAGTAAGTCAGATTGACACCCGCTTTCTCAGCTATAACAGTGAGGGCAAAAGGGAGGAGTAGCACTCCAGCTTTCTGAAGAAAGTTCTCTTTCAGCACAGAATTATAAATGGTCCCCAAGTATTATTCAAGAATAGGAACAAATTCAGGACCATTTCTTATCTTCAGAGATCCAGAAAGTTCCCTACACTTCCCTGAAATACATACTAAGTGATGGGCTTTATGAAAGACAAAACCTAAAAGGGAAATTACCCAAAGCAGTCATGTTTTAGCCCATTTGTGCTGCTTTAAAAAAAATGCAACACACTGGGTCTTTTATAAAGAATATTACCACTTATAGGACCACCTCTTAATCCTATCCCAATGGGAATTAAATTTCAGCAGCATTTCAGTAGAAGCCAGAAAAATTTACTCTTTAGTCTAAAAATTTGACTTTAAAAACTTTAATGTCAATTTGGAAATAATATTCAAGATGTTAACAACATGTGAGGTTGTTGGAGGAGTGGGTTTGGGAAAAGGAATTGACCTAAATAAACTTCTTGCCTAATTTTGAATGAGATGAGAAAAAGTGATTTGCTCTAGATGTTAATAGCAAATTATAAAATAAAATGCACATGTCTGTAATTCCAGCACGTGGATGAGGCAGAAGGGCCAGCATTGGCTACATGGCAAGACCCGGTCTCAAAATAAGACCTATTAATTTCATGTCAAGAAGGAATTGTGTTTGGTTACTATAATAGAAACCAAAACAACAGTGGCTCAAATACTTAGATTATTAGATTATTTTTATCTAGATATGGGCCACCCCTGCCTATATCCAGGCTTCTTCTATGACTACACTTTTCCTTGCCTGTGATTGGACTCTTATTTTCAGAGTCTCAAAATGACTGCCAGAGTGCCTGCTAGCACATGTACATTTCAGGAAATAAAAGGGTTAGAGGCAAAAAGGCCATCCTGTCCTGAGACAGTCTCCTACATTGTTTTCCCTGAAGACCACCAGGTGACTTCTGTTGACAACTCATTAGTCAGTGAGTGTCACATAACCCCCACTTCTGCAAATGGGGCTTATGAAAGAGCTTTCCCTACCCCCTTTACTCTGAGTACAATACTACCACAAATAGTTATGCTCTGATTAAGGAGGAAATGAGGAAAATGGAGAGACTGGCTGGGCAACAAGCACTCTCCCTCAACTTCTAAAATAGTTAAAGGAATAAAATTCCAAAGAATTCTCAACTAATCCAACAAAAGATAGGGAAAGTGAGTGGTAGAGGAAAGGCAATAGGTGGAAATAATGAAACAATATGGCAATAATCCAGAGAGGTCAAAAATCTAGATAAACATCAGTTTGTAGCAGTCATTTATTAAAATAGAGTTCCTGGGTGTGGTGCCTGGGTGCACAACTGTAATCCCAGCAATCAGGAGAGATAGGCAGGAAGATTTTTTTTTTTTTTTTTTTCTATTTTTTTCTTTTTCTTTCTTTTATTTTATAATGTGCATACAAGGCTTGGGTCATTTCTCCCCCTGCCCCACCCCTCCCTTAACCCACTCCACCTCCCTCCCCCCACCCTCAATACCCAGCAGAAACTATTTTGCCCTTATTCTAATTTTGTTGTAGAGAGAGTATAAGCAATAATAGGAAGGAACAAGGGGTTTTTGCTGGTTGAGATAAGGATAGCTATACAGGGCATTGACTCACATTGATTTCCTGTGCGTGGGTGTTACCTTCTAGGTTAATTCTTTTTGATCTAACCTTTTCTCTAGTTCCTGGTCCCTTTTCCTATTGGCCTCAGTTGCTTTAAGGTATCTGCTTTAGTTTCTCTGCATTAAGGGCAACAAATGCTAGCTAATTTTTTAGGTGTCTTACCTATCCTCACCTCCCTTGTGTGCTCTCACTTTTATCATGTGCTCATAGTCCAATCCATTGTTGTTTTGCCCTTGATCTAATGTCCACATATGAGGGAGAACATAGATTTTTGGTCTTTTGGGCCAGGCTAACCTCACTCAGAATGATGTTCTCCAATTCCATCCATTTACCAGCGAATGATAACATTTCGTTCTTCTTCATGGCTGCATAAAATTCCATTGTGTATAGATACCACATTTTCTTAATCCATTCGTCAGTGGGGGGGCATCTTGGCTGTTTCCATAACTTGGCTATTGTGAATAGTGCCGCAATAAACATGGGTGTGCAGGTGCCTCTGGAGTAACCTGTGTCACAGTCTTTTGGGTATATCCCCAAGAGTGGTATTGCTGGATCAAATGGTAGATCGATGTCTAGCTTTTTAAGTAGCCTCCAAATTTTTTTCCAGAGTGGTTGTACTAGTTTACATTCCCACCAACAGTGTAAGAGGGTTCCTTTTTCCCCGCATCCTCGCCAACACCTGTTGTTGGTGGTGTTGCTGATGATGGCTATTCTAACAGGGGTGAGGTGGAATCTTAGTGTGGTTTTAATTTGCATTTCCTTTATTGCTAGAGATGGTGAGCATTTTTTCATGTGTTTTTGGCCTTTTGAATTTCTTCTTTTGAGAAAGTTCTGTTTAGTTCACTTGCCCATTTCTTTATTGGTTCATTAGTTTTGGGAGAATTTAGTTTTTTAAGTTCCCTATATATTCTGGTTATCAGTCCTTTGTCTGATGTATAGTTGGCAAATATTTTCTCCCACTCTGTGGGTGTTCTCTTCAGTTTAGAGACCATTTCTTTTGATGAACAGAAGCTTTTTTTTTTTTTCATTTTTCTTTTATTATTCATATGTGCATACAAGGCTTGGTTATTTCTCCCCCTGCCCCACCCCTCCCTTAACCCACTCCACCCTCCCGCTCCCCCCCTCAATACCCAGCAGAAACTATTTTGCCCTTATCTCTAATTTTGTTGTAGAGAGAGTATAAGCAATAATAGGAAGGAACAAGGGGTTTTGCTGGTTGAGATAAGGATAGCTATACAGGGCATTGACTCACATTGATTTCCTGTGCGTGGGTGTTACCTTCTAGGTTAATTCTTTTTGATCTAACCTTTTCTCTAGTTCCTGGTCCCCTTTTCCTATTGGCCTCAGTTGCTTTAAGGTATCTGCTTTAGTTTCTCTGCATTAAGGGCAACAAATGCTAGCTAGTTTTTTAGGTGTCTTACCTATCCTCACCCCTCCCTTGTGTGCTCTCGCTTTTATCATGTGCTCATAGTCCAATCCCTTGTTGTGTTTGCCCTTGATCTAATGTCCACATATGAGGGAGAACATACGATTTTTGGTCTTTTGAGCCAGGCTAACCTCACTCAGAATGATGTTCTCCAATTCCATCCATTTACCAGCGAATGATAACATTTCGTTCTTCTTCATGGCTGCATAAAATTCCATTGTGTATAGATACCACATTTTCTTAATCCATTCGTCAGTGCTGGGGCATCTTGGCTGTTTCCATAACTTGGCTATTGTGAATAGTGCCGCAATAAACATGGATGTGCAGGTGCCTCTGGAGTAACAGTCTTTTGGGTATATCCCCAAGAGTGGTATTGCTGGATCAAATGGTAGATCGATGTCCAGCTTTTTAAGTAGCCTCCAAATTTTTTTCCAGAGTGGTTGTACTAGTCTACATTCCCACCAACAGTGTAAGAGGGTTCCTTTTTCCCCGCATCCTCGCCAACACCTGTGTTTGGTGGTTGAACAGAAGCTTTTTTAGCTTTATGAGGTCCCATTTTCTATGCTAATCTCTTAGTTGCTGTGCTGCTGGGGTTTCATTGAGAAGTTCTTACTATACCTACTAACTCCAGAGTATTTCTACTCTTTCTGTATCAACTTTAAGAGTTTGTGGTCTGATATTAAGATCCTTGATCCATTTTGAGTTAATCTTGGTATAGGGTGATATCATGGATCTAGTTTCAGTTTTTTGCAGACTTTTTTGCAGTTTTGTTGAAGAGGCTGCTATTTCTCCATCGTATATTTTTAGCTCCTTTGTCAAAGATAAGTTGCTTATAGTTGTGTGGCTTCATATCTGGATCTCTATTCTGTTCCACTGGTCTTCATGTCTGTTTTTGTGCCAGTACATGCTGTTTTTATTGTTATTGCTTTGTAATATAGTTTGAAGTCAGGTATTGTGATACCTCCTGCATTGTTTTTTGACTGAGTATTGCTTGGCTATTCGTGGCCTCTTGTTTTCCATATAAATTTAACAGTAGATTTTTCAATCTCTTTAATGAATGTCATTGGAATTTTGATGGGAATTGCATTAAACATGTAGATTACTTTTGGGAGTATAGACATTTTTACTATGTTGATTCTACCAATCCATGAGCATGGGAGATCTCTCCACTTTCTATAGTCTTCTTCAATCTCTTTCTTCAGAAGTGTATAGTTTTCCTTGTAGAGGTCTTTCACATCTTTTGTTAGGTTTACACCTAGGTATTTGATTTTTTTTGAGGCTATTGTAAATGGAATTGTTTTCATACATTCTTTTTCCGTTTGCTCATTGTTAGTGTATAGAAATGCTAATGATTTTTCTATGTTGATTTTATATCCTGCTACCTTGCTATAGCTATTGATGATGTCTAGAAGCTTCTGAGTAGAGTTTTTTGGGTCTTTAAGGTATAGGATCATGTCGTCTGCAAATGGGATATTTTGACAGTTTCTTTACCTATTTGTATTCCTTTTATTCCTTCTTCTTGCCTAATTGCTCTGGCTAGGAATTCCAGTACTATGTTGAATAGGAGTGGAGATAGTGGGCATCCTTGTCTGTTCCTGATTTTAGAGGGAATGGTTTCAGTTTTTCTCCATTAAGTATAATGCTGGCTGTAGGTTTGTCAATATATAGCTTTTATATGTTGAGGTACTTTCCTTCTATTCCTAGTTTTTTAGAGCTTTTATCATGAAATGGTGTTGGATCTTATCAAAGGCTTTTCTGCATCTATTGAGATGATCAAGTGGTTTTGTCTTTGCTTCTGTTAATGTGGTTTATTACATTTATTGATTTTTGTATGTTGAACCACCCTGCATCCTGGGATGAAGCCTACTTGGTCGTGGTGAATAATCTTTTTTGTGTTGTTGAATTCGTTTGCCATTATTTTTGTTGAGGATTTTTGCATCAATGTTCATTAAGGAGATTGGCCTATAGTTCTCCTTTTTGGAGGTGTCTTTGCCTGGTTTTGGGATAAGTGTAATACTGGCTTCATAAAATGTGTTTGGCAGTTTTCCTTCCCTTTCTATTTCATGGAACAGTTTAAGGAGGGTTGGTATCAGTTCTTCTTTAAAGGTCTGATAGAATTCAGCAGAGAATCCATCAGGTCCTGGACTTTTCTTTTTGGGGAGACTCTTGATTGCTGCTTCAATTTCATTTTGTGTTATAGGTCTATTCAGGTGATCAATTTCCTCTTGGTTCAGTTTTGGATGATCATATGTATCTAGAAATCTGTCAGGCAGGAGGATTTTAGAGGCAAGAGGCTCTTCAGCTTGAGCCAGCCTGTGCTAAAAGTGAAACTTTATATCAAAACAAACAAACACAATAACTTCCTTGCTTGCTCTAACTAGAAATATCTATATTTTTGTTAGCAAAGGGAAAAAGGAAGTTGAAACAAAGCAATGGCTAAATATAGCAGTGACTCTTGTCACTTTTCAAGACCAATGTTGCTAAGTGGTTGGGATGAATCCTTTTTGCTAAGGATAACAGAAAAAAGTTTGATCCAACTGAAATTTATGCTTCACGAATTGAAAAGAAAAAAATTAGATTAAATTAATTTGAAAATTAATGGGGCATGGTCCATAGCAGAAGGAAATCAGAGGGCTGTTTGGCCTGAGGTTGTTGACATCTTTTATCAAAAGGAGGGTAACCTGAGCCTTCCCCATTCACACATTGCTACCTAGCACTTTCTCTTGTCCTGTGCAACTTAACAGTCTTAGCCCATGAACTACACAGAACCAGCTCATGGTCTGCATCCCTGCGGTTCCCTACAGCCTTCACCAGCCTCTTCAATGTGCTCACCCTCCACTTGCAGACACACTCACTCCTTCAGATGCTCTCCTGGGCCAGTTGCCTCTGAGCGGGGCCAGAGCTTCACACTATTCAAAACTGATGCTCCTTCTGGCAGAAAACTGACCTCACAGTCCCAGTGAGTTTTTCTGGGTCCAGGAGCAAGCAAAGATGGGTCCCTTCTGCAGTGGCTGCCCATGCCGACCATCTCTTGGTTTTGTGGGTCTGGAAGCCGTCAGGGGCAGAGAAGAGAGCAGTCAATAAAATAAGAGCTTGTGCATTGGGCCTCAAGGGATTTCTGGCCTGATGCATCTTGCTGTCTAGCCAGGTTGATAAGTGGGTGCTTCCAAATACGCCAGACACAGGTGATTCAGCCACAGTGAGGGAGTTTACCCTGCCTGCGCCCAGTCCCACAATCCTCACCAAAGGTAATCACTGCTCATTCTTATTGTGTATACTTTCCTAATCTTCAACCTTCCTATTTCTCATGCTTTATAACTCATGCACAGAAACATAGATAGGTACCATATTGTTCTTTAATTCAGCTTTTTCCCTCATACTCCTTCACATCAGTATAGAGACACAGATTCTCTCTTCGTGGTTTCATAAAGTGCTTGGTTTGATGACTTGCCACAGTTCTGTATTCCCTGCTAACCACCACCCAAACTAAGATATATATATATATGTCTCTGCTTCTTTGTGCCATTTGAAGGTGATACGTCTCTACTGTCGACATATATGATAATCTAAAACAGGAGTTTTGCCTGTTTTAGTGTTTTATGTACACAGAGTCATCTTGTAGGTGCTCTTTTATGTCTGACTTCTTTCACTTAGCATCCTGTTTTCCAGATTCAGCTACATTTCTCTGGCTAACGGTGTGTTCCTTATTATTGATACCAGAAATTTGGTCCCCTGAACTTAATGTCAATTTACAAATAGCAGAAGGGTTTTTGCAGAAAAGGAAGTAAAGGTTTATTAATCTTGTCAGGCAAAATGACTGTATGAGCTGATACCTTAAAGAAAAAGAAAAAAAAAACTACAGTCCTACTGGTGGGGGGAGAGTGAAGTACTGGTTTTTAAAGAAAGGCCCAGGCACACAAGCTTCTGGGTGTGAGGGCCAGGATGTGGTTTTGGGCAGGACGGTGGCCGTAGGTCTACTTAGTCTCTGATGTACTGGTGTCAATCTCCAGAGTTGTATCCTTTGTTGTTTTGGACATTTTAAAATTTGTTTTTTATTCCCATGGTCAGTAAGATAAGGAGAGGAGCACAACCATCTTGTCTGGAGCTGTAGACACATTTTTGAGTTCTAGGACAATGAGATAGAAAAAAAAAACCCATCATTTTAAAACTGTCACTGAAAGTAGACTGGTCAGTAAAGTGAGTTTAGATATTGGGCTAAAGCTGTAATTGTGAGCATGTGTAGGTGTCTGATCCCATTACAGTATTGCTGGGTATTATTTGATTACATGAAAATGACTAATTCTTTTTCTAGTCATGTTTTTGTAGGTATTTGTGTTGTTTCCACTTTTGACCTACTAGTCAAAAGAATGCTGCTAGAACATCATGCACGTGCATTTTGGAGCCACGTTTTCATTTTTCATCTGTAAGTGCCTAGGAGTGGAACTATTCAGTTACTGGGTGGATGCATATAAAACTTTATTAAAAACTGCCAAGCCACTTCCATGGTGCTTCTGCTGTTCCTTGACTTTCCACCAACAGGATGGGAGAGTTGCTGCTTGTCTGTGTCCATTGTCATTCAGTGCTGTCCGTGTTCCTTATTTTAGCCATTTCTAGGATGTCTGGGGGATATCTCACTGTGCCTCATGTAAACAATGCGGTCTGAGCCACTTCTAAATCTCCTTTTGTAAATCATATGTTGAACATTTTGTCACAAACTTTTTCTATCATTATTTCACTCCATTGTATGATTGATCTGAAATCCATGTATTGAATTCCCTACAGATAGTAAATTTTCTCAACTTTGTCTTTTCAACTGGACCAAAATGACTAACTTTATACACCTTTATTCCAATGAAACACTGTTTTTAGTGCCTTACTTTTTTTTTTTTTTTGGTGGTACTAGGGTTTGACATATGGCCTCACACTTACTAGGCAGGTGCTCTACCACTTGAGCCACTCTGCCAATCCTTTGTGTGTGTGTGTGTGTGTGTGTGTGTGAGTGTGGTGTTGAATATTTTTGAGATAGGGTCTTGTGAAATATTTGCCAGCCAATCCTCCTGATCTCTGCCTCTTGAGTAGCTAGGATTACCAGGCATGAGCCACTGGCACCAGGCCAGTGTCTCATTGTGTAGCTCAGTCTCAAGCATATCTTCAGGAAAGCATGAACATTTCCACTAAAGAGTGTCCAACTCTTGGAAGTCTTCTTGGTGCCTGTATCATAGATGCCCTTATGACATCATTGGACTCTCCCTTCCCACACTCTTCCTGCCAGACTTGTGGCTGGAAGGAAGCAGACCTAAGATGATGGACCCACCCTAACTCTAACCATGGGCAGTTGAGGGGATTGCAGACCTGAGGAGATTTGACCATCTATCTCCAAAACATGGGCGGTTGTTGTGGTGTAAGAGACAGCTGGTACACTCAAAATTTACATAGTTAATCAGGACACAAGCACTAGAGATCCCGGCAACTGAGGAAATTGAGTGCTAGAATTGGTACCTAGTTATACAAAGATCAACCTACCCACACTTCTCCCCTTTAACTCTGGTTACAGAAAGATGCTGGGTGCTGTACCTTTAATGAAGAAGTTGTGTACCGGGTGAAAAAAACAAAAAAGAAAAAGGAAAAAGAGGAAAAACCTGCACCCCCACCCCGTCCAAAGGTAGGTGGTGCAGGCCTCCAAGGTTAGGGGTGACCCTTGATCTGCCACCTCTCTTGCACATGTGGTTCAGACTGATGATGGTCTTCTCTGTGGCCCACAGCCTGGAATGGTCATGGGATTATTGTCTCAACAGGACACATGTATGAGTGGAAAGTCATGTTATTAACTATTACTCAGAACACCCATCAGAAACCAAAAACGTCCCAGCCATCTAGGACAAATGATTGTCCTATCCAAAGCCCTATCCTGTCCTTGGCTGGCTTCTCCAGCTGCCTTACCAGCTTGAGAAAGGCAGTTGGCAGAGACCTGCAGACTTGGTGTGGGGAGGAGAAACCCAGAGAGTGAGAACCAAACCATGCAAAGCTGGGAGTCAGGTGGTGAGGGCTGTGTTTGGGGAATGTATGGCAAAGCAAAGAGAAACCCACGTCTAGAATTGTACAGGAGTAAGTGTGTGTGTGCACATGTATATTTGTGCTAACTGATGTTTATGGTGCGGGAAGCAAAAGAAGTGAAAATAGGAAATAGATGAGAAAGACCCCAAACTGTGTGGAGAAGAGAAGCTTTAATATTAGCATGAGCAAGACGGTGAGAACAGGTTGTGGATTGAGGTGGAGCCTGGGAGAGTGGGAGGAGCCAAAGGATGTCACTTCCCCTTAGGTGGAAGGGTCTAAAGGGAGGTCATGGGCTCTCTTTTTTTGCAATTCTGTGGTTTGAACTCAGGGCCTCCAGCTTGCTAGGGAGGCACTCTATCACTTGAGCCACGCTGCCAGCCCCAGGTGGATCCCATGAATCTAAGTGTACACCAGGTCCAGGTGAGGGCACAAGCCCAGGTGCACTTCATTGTATAATGGAACAGAGAGACTCAGCGGTCAAGGTGATGTGTGTCCATTAACTGACATGACTTTCACTGACATGGCAGCCAGAGGCAGGGATACCTTCCTGCTCTCCCAGGTCCCACTGCTCAGCCTTGCACAGTGCTCATAAACTTCAGAGGAAGAGATGATCACTGACAGGCTCAGGACCCCTTCCTGGCACACCCTGGAGCTTAGAGAGGTGGGGAATATGTTCTGAGTGTCCTTTTATTTTGGTGGTACTGGGGTTTGAACTCAGCGCCTCACACTTGCTAGACCACTTGAGCCACTCAGCCAGCCCCTGAGTGTCCTTTCTTAACCTTCCAGCCCACTTTCCAGACAAAGAAGCCTCCTGCTAACAGTGAACTCGCAGCCAGAAAGATCCAGGCCTGGTGGCGAGGCACGCTGGTGCGCCGGACGCTACTGCACGCGGCCCTCCGAGCTTGCATCATTCAGTTCTGGTGGAGGAAGACTCTGGCCAGGCTGCTGGAGAAGAAACGGAGGCAGATGCTGGAGTCGTTTGTGCGGCAAGAACGGGCAGCTGTGACTCTGCAGTCCTGGATCCGAATGTGGTTCATCCGCCTGCAATACTGTCGTTTGCTCAACGCTGTCCGCATCATCCAGGCTTTTTGGCGGTGGCATAGTTGCCATGCTCGTGGCGCTTTGGGGGGAAGCTATGAGCTCACAGCAAGCCAACTAAAACTCCAGCTTGATATCTTTATGGGCCACAGATTTGTCGGATTATGGACTGCATCCCCTTTCCAATAAAACACTAACTCGGTCTGCTCCACATATGTGTCACTGTATCTTTGTTACACAAGCTCCTGGAAGTCCCTGTCTCAGCAAAGGGTCAGGGGAAATTACACAAAGCATCTCACACGTTTGCTCTGGGATATCAGATATATGGGAGCTCCTGGTGCTGCAGGATCAGGGTCCAGTGACTGAGTCACCAGAGGTGTGGGAGGGTTGGGGAGAGATGCAGGGTTGCCAAGGCAACCAACTCAAGAGATGCTCCTCCACTGTGGTCTATGTAAATGATCCCCTCTACTTGTGCAGTATGGAGACCTGTGCCATCCTTCACTCTTCATCCTCCAATGTTTCCTCACTGAATTTAGAACAAGTTCAAAAGCCCTCCCTATTGTCCACATGACCCTACATGGTCTGGCCCTGGCCATTTCACTTCCCCAGTGCCTGCTCTAGTCATCAAAGCAAAACACCCCAAGCTGTTCCCAGAGTCTGCACTTGCCACCTGCCCCCGTAGTGTGTCCTCTACTGAAGGAGCACTCTTTCTCCATTCAGGTTTGTGTCTGCACAAATGCTCCCTCTGGTGGGGGAAGGCTCCTTTTTGCCCGATTCACATGGGCACCTGCCCACCTCCTGTTGGCTCCAGCTCCTGACTCTGCTGTCCTGTGTGTGATGCCCTCATCAGGGCCTGAGGTTATCTTAGCTCCTTGTCTACTTTCTGTCCCTCCCATCAAAGGGTCAGCTACAGGAGAGCTGGGCTCTGTACCAGGACCTCACAGTGCCTGACATCCAGGGGTTCTGGCCTTCCAACTAGCCAGTTCTAAGCTGTTTGCCTGCCTTTCCCTTCCTTTCCACAGAAATACCAATAAGACAGGCCTAACTGTCCTGTTGCTCCCACAAAACCTGGAGCTCCCTCTGTGACCCTGAGGGCACACAGGGAGCCTTCTCCAGGACAGATTAATGCAATAAACTTTGTTTCCTGATCTCCTCTGTGTCTTATTAACCGTCAAATGAAAGAATACAAAACTGTGTGTGTTTGTACAATTAAGCAAAATTCACATAAGACTAACCATCTATAGTTTAGCCATGTAAGATTAATCATTAACAAAAAGATTAACAAGTCAGCAGATCTAGTATATTCACCTTATTAAGTGATCATTATCTATATTTTTTTTTAAAAAAAAAGAAAATTGTTTTGTGGGACTGGGGTTTGAATTAAGGGCTCCATGCTTACAAAGCAGGACAGCACCATTTGAACCACACCTCCAGTACCTTTTGCTCTGGTTATTTTGGAGATGGGGGTCTCTAGAACTGTTTTCCAGAGCTGGACTCAAACTGCAAGCCTCCTGATCCTAAGTGGCTAAGATTACAGGTGTGAGCCATCAGCACTAAAATATTTTTTTACCTTAAAAAGAAAATCCTGTACTCATTAAGCAACTATTCCCCATTACCCGACTCCTCCAGGACCTGCATCCGCAAAATGTACATTCCATGTCCATAGATTTACCTGGTCTGCCTAGTCATATAAAGAGAATCATAATCATACATTATTTGTGTCCTGCTTCTTTCACTGAGCATAGTATTACAAAGTTTATTAATGCTGTAGCAAGCATGGGTACTTCATGACTATACAATATTCCAGTGTGTGGATATATCACACTGGATTTGCATAAGCCTGTTAATGGATATTTGGATTGTTTGCACTTTGGGCTCTTATGAATTATGACACTATGAATGGTTAGCAGTTATACCATTTCACAATCCCACCAGCCATCTACACTGGTTCTGATTTTTGTATATCCTTGTCATTTTTTTTCAAAAATGACTACACACCATGCAAAACTAGTTTCAGCCATAAAGGATGCCACATGGCCCTGCTGTTCATGCACAGACTCATTACCATCTCATTGTAATATTGTGACCTAACATTATATTATTATATTCCCAACCTCCAGTAACATCCTGGCCTGGTATGCTTCTGACCCAGCCTGAAACTAGATCATATAAAGATTAAAGGAATGCAGTCCCTCATCTCCAGGATGGACCCAACTCGCACCCTGGAAAAAGTGATGAATATCTCTCACTATCAAAAATCCTCTCCTTTTCCCTTTACTCTTAAAAGGGACCTTCATCTTTTGTTCCAATAGGAAATTGATCTGTGAGCTATTTCTCCCCAAAGAATATACCTTCCTTCACTGCATAATCAGCACTCAGTTTTATTGGGTTCATAATTTGAGAGGGAGAAAGAATCCAGTTTGGGTGAGCCCCAATAAGGGGCTGTGAGGTCTGATTAGCCATATGCCCCCAGTACCTGAAAGTAAGACAGGTATGCTTGCTCCCAGAAAACAAGCAGGGATGCCCAACCCTTCGGTGGTCCTGCTTCTGGGAGTTGAGAGATGTTTTTGTGGTGGAACCAACCCTCCAGTTTTGAAATCTGCTCCTAGAGGGAAGAGATCACTCTGCTGTGGACTCCAGGCCCCTAGTAAGGATCTGGGAGTTGGGGTTCAATTTTCAGGACATTTCTGGAAGCCTTCTAATATCAGAATCTACATTTGATAATGTATATGTCCTGTTATAATGTTTATCTACATATCTTGTCCTTAGCAGTGTTTCCTTTTAATGCTATTCAGCACTGTTACTCTATGGTTAAAGGGAAGTTTACAGCCTATCTGACTGCCTGTGTCCTATCCTGTTCTCTGAAGCTGTTTCCAGTGCTTCAAAAATATCCCTTCCTCTAGGAAGATGGCAGATTAGAGATACCCAACACTTTCCTGTGTCTCCATGAATCTCAAAAGAGGGTGGTGTGCACCAAACAACAGGTGTTGGCGAGGATGCGGGGGAAAAGGAAACCCTCTTACACTGTTGGTGGAAATGTAAACTAGGACAACCACTCTGGAAAAAAAATTTGGAGGCTACTTAAAAAGCTAGACATCGATCTACCATTTGATCCAGCAATACCACTCTTGGGGATATACCCAAAAGACTGTGACACAGGTTACTCCAGAGGCACCTGCACACCCATGTTTATTGTGGCACTATTCACAATAGCCAAGTTATGGAAACAGCCAAGATGCCCCAGCACTGACGAATGGATTAAGAAAATGTGGTATCTATACACAATGGAATTTTATGCAGCCATGAAGAAGAATGAAATGTTATCATTCGCTGGTAAATGGATGGAATTGGAGAACATCATTCTGAGTGAGGTTAGCCTGGCCCAAAAGACCAAAAATCTTATGTTCTCCTTCATATGCGGACATTAGATCAAGGGCAAACACAACAAGGGGATTGGACTATGAGCACATGATAAAAGCAAGAGCACACAAGGAAGGGGTGAGGATAGGTAAGACACCTAAAAAATTAGCTAGCATTTGTTGCCCTTAATGCAGAGAAACTAAAGCAGATACCTTAAAAGCAAGTGAGGCCAATAGGAAAAGGGGACCAGGAACTAGAGAAAAGGTTAGATCAAAAAGAATTAACCTAGAAGGTAACACCCACGCACAGGAAATCAATGTGAGTCAATGCCCTGTATAGCTATCCTTATCTCAACCAGCAAAAACCCTTGTCCTTCCTGTTATTGCTTATACTCTCTCTACAACAAAATTAGAAATAAGGGCAAAATAGTTTCTGCTGGGTATTGAGGGGGAGGGGAGAGGGAGGGGGTGGAGTGGGTGGTAAGGGAGGGGGTGGGGGCAGGGGAGAGAAATGAACCAAGCCTTGTATGCACATATGAATAATAAAAGAAAAAGAAAAAAAATGAATAATAAAAGAAAGAAAAAAAAGAGGGTGGTGTGGAAAGGCACAGGAGTGCAGTAGACAGAGACTAGGCAAAATTCAAAGATATGGAACTTTAGATTTGTGAAAGAAACAATGAACCCGAACATCAAGCAGAGACAAAATGGTAAGGAAGGAGGAAAATCCCCTTTAGTAGGGGCTTTAAGCAAAACAGAAATGAAAGCCTTGGTGATCTACATAAATGCCCAACATGGCATCCTGTAAAAACTCAGTTTAAGATAGGCAATCTGTGATCTGTATAGCAAGCAGACACTGAAGAAGGGGCCCTCTGTGCTTTCTAGCCTGCTCACTGTTGCTGTGGTGGGGAATCATCTTAACAGAAGTTTTACAGTCAAACCTTTCAGGCAGAGGGAGCAGAAGCCTTTGCATTCATCCAAACCCCAGGGGCTCTCCTTTTGTGCTGGCTTAAACAAGTGACCTCTTCAAGAATCAGTGTGTGTTCAGAAAACTGTGACTTGGATGCAGACCCAGGGACACAGGTCTATGTGGTGGGAAGTGTGGGCACTGCTGCAGAAGGAAGTAGAGGGCACTTACATTTGGGGACTGTAGCCTGACCTCTGGGAAAAAGAGCAGTACAGGTGTGGGAATGCAAGCAGGGCACTGGGACAGAGAACAACATGGGCAGGGCACATGTGATAACTCAGTGCCATGCCTTGTCCCCACACCCCACCCCTTACCCCCCAGAATGGATTGCTTTGATTTGACTGCTTTCTACATTTTCAGAGTCCCAGAAACATTTGGTGGAAATGCAGCCCCTGACTGGGCATTGGCAAGACACTTCTGGTGAGAGGGGGCATCCAACCAGGAGTCTATGGGCTCAGCTAGTGGCTCAGGGCAGCTCCCATACTTGACATGTTTCCTGGCCTGTATAAGGAGAACACTGGCAGGAATTGAGCCCAGCACCAGTCATAGGAGCATGGGTACCTCAATGGGAAAGGCAGGGCAGAGCTCAGCCTGCAAATAGCTCTCTCTGGTCTATCCTGTTTGGACTTCAGAGAAAAAAATGACTCAATATCATCCTGCTCCCACACTAAGTAAACTGCAAAGTGACAAACTTGGAGAAAAATTGAAGTCTTTCCCATTCCCCATCTCCTTGGCATAGAGGAATGACTGACTTTTTTTTCTTTTGAGTGTTTTATCTTGCTCTGTATTTTTTAATTTTGTTTTCCCTTACTTTTATGTCTCATACCATTATCCCATATGGTTTTCCTCTCATTTCTATCTTGCTTCTTCTGTA